GTATGTATTTGTAGAGGTTTGAATCTATAACCCTGGAGCAGACACAAAGATGGAAGACTACTTCAATGTACATAATTTGGAAAATAAAGTGGGGCTCACACTAGCAACCAGCAGGGTTCTTGTGGAGGATGAAGTGAGGAGCAGGGCAGGCATATACCAGGTCTCAGTACATCTAACCTTCAGCCATGCAGGGGTCCTGCCCATAAGTATGTAAGTGTATACACCAGCCCGGGGGTGATCGCCAGCAACTCTTTGCCAGGTAGAGGGTAGGTGGCTGAACACATTGTCTTTTACTAACAGCTCTGGGAACAAAGCCATTGGTAAACAAACTCTGGGGTTCTCTGCTCATAAGAAGGAGAGGAGCTCAGGCAAACGCCTACCTCTATGTCTGGGAGCAGTTTCAGTCTTCTATGTGTTCCTGCAAGCACAGGCTAGAGAAAAGGAAATGGCTTCAAGGCAGTGCAGTGCTTTAATACATTCAACCATTGCACACTGGCCTTTACTACAGATGAGGGTTGTAAACGAGAGCAGTTTTCTCACATTTTTTATGTACATCAGAAATCATCTGGAGGCTTGTTAAAACAGATTTTTTAAAAAGATTTTATTTATGCATACAAGAGCTGGGGTGTAGGCCAGAGGTGGGGGTATGTGTGAAAGGATTCACCAGAGACAGAGTGGGGAGCACTACCCAGGGAAGCAGCGGGCAAGACAGGAGAGGACTACTGCACCATTTGGGACAGCTCCCTGGCTGGGGATGGAACTCCTGCTGCAGTGACCTCAGACAACTTCACAGTGCTGAGCCTTAACCCCTGGCGCGCCACTGGGAGGCCCAAAACGGATTTTTTTACATCGCTGGAGTTTCTGATTTAGCAGGCACGGAGCTCTAGGGGATTTACATTTCTAAGTTCCCAGGTGATGCTGATGGTCCACTTTGAGAATCACTGATTTGGAATGAAGTCCTTTCATCCCTGAGAATTGTGATGGTAGTGTTGGTGCTTGGAAGCACAGGGCTGACTCTCCCCACTTGTACAAGCTTGGAATCCCAGGACCAGGAAGGGAGCCAAAAATGGAGACCCTGGTCATATGGCGGTGAAAAGGAGAAATAATGACATCACTTCCTCTCAGTTTTTACCTTTAAAAATAATCCCAAGAACACAATGATGCATGGTCAATTATCTCCTTCCTTTACAGGAGGAAAGTAAAACCCAGAAACTAACTAACTTTCCTTTAAACACCCAGTTGGCAGGTAGAGGCGCAGGGATGGGGACTCAGGACCGCCTGACCATTGGACTTGTTGCGCTACCCTTGGAAGCACCACAGGCTGAAGCCAGACAACCCCAGGTGTGAAGACCACCACTCACCAGCTGGGTGTTCTCAGCCACCTGCTCAACCTCTCTGCGCCTTCCTTAGGTACCTACAAAATGGAGGTAACAGAGTTCGAGCTGTGCTGGGTTGGTGTAAGGGTTAACTTGGAGGTGCGTGATGGTTAATTAACTTGAATTAACATGCGTGAGGCCTAGGACAATAAGTACCTGGCACATAGGCGCTGCATAAATGCATTGAAAATAAACATGACTGGTCTGGTACTGCGCACACACCGCATCACCCCAGGGAAGCTGGGGAGGGAGCCTAAAAATCAGCTCGGATCTACAGTGAGGCTAGGCAGAAACACGTGAAAAATGTACATAGTCTGGGATTCAGGGTGTAGGAAGAACTCAGCCTTTGGGGGTGGGGTAGGGTGGGGTGGGGTGGGAAGACAGCTCTGTTAGCAGCTCAGGCCTAACGCCAGCCTGGTCTGTTCCCCGCTTCACCCCAGGACTGGACTCCAGACTGACCACAGTGTGGGACCCGCCGCCCCTCCCCCCTTTCGCCACCCCCCCCAGCCCAGGCGCTCCGAGTTTCCTGCCCCCCTGCCCTGCTTGGGGCGGGCAGAGGAGGGGTGGCATTTCCTGGCGGGCCCGCCAGCCGCCTCACTAGCTCCTGGACGCTCGGACAGAGCGCTGACCGACAGGCACCAGATGCTATTTCGGGCGGCGCCCCTCTCCGCGCAGTTTCCGTTTTTCCACCGACTGTCGGAAACCAGAGAGGAGGAGGCTGTTGACGTCATGAGCCCCCAGCCCCAGACGGAGTGGGGGGTGGGGTGGGGTGGTGGAGGTCAGGGATGGCTACCAGACTGTCAGAATCCGAAGCCTGCGGCACAGGAGCAAGGCGAACCCCACCTTCCCTCCCGCCGAGGGTGAGGGTCCGCGCACACGGCTGAAGGCTGACAAAATTCTTTCCACCTGTCCATACTCTTTCCCCACAACCCTTGGGGTGTTAAGCAAGTCATTTAATGCCCTGTAGGATGACCCTCAAAGATATCAAAACCAAATGCAGAATCCCTCCGCACGCCTCTCCAAGAATACCACCCCCATCTAAGCAAGCAAGATAACCAGAACACCAAGGGGTTCATGGATTTCCCCTTCACCCCCAAACCCGATTCTTACAAATGCAGTTTTGTATTCCAAACACACGCCTTCTCCATACACCTCTTTTCATCTCTTCTGCCAGCTCCCTCGTCCCCTGCCCAAACCCGCACCTTGGACCCCTGCATTGGCCTCAGAACCCATATTTTCACATCCTTCCTCCTGCCCCCTCCAGGCTTGCAGCCAAAGAGCTTTCTAAAAATGCAAATTTGATTCCGTATAAAACATTCGCTCTACCCCAAAACCAAATAAAAAAAAATGGCTCTCCCCAAAATTCTTCCAATGGTTCATCAGTTTGCTCCAACCATACTGGACTCATGTCCCTTTCATGAGCCTTAAACCCTTATGCTCCAGCTCTCCGCCCACCTGGAAGACCCTGGTGCTCACTGTTCTAACCCTGCCCCCTCAGATCTCAAGCTCAGTGTGGGCATCACTGCCTCAGAGAGCCACCGTGATGATGAAGGACTGGCCAGGATGATCAGACCCGGCCACACACCAGGCTCAGCCCCTGACTGGGACTTAGCCTGTGCCACACAAGGGCTTTCTCCTCGTTCTCAGGCTCCAAAGGAGCTCAGCCACAGATGCTGGGAGGACAATGCAGCCTGGCGCGGTGGGTAGAGTCGTGGACTTGGAACTGGATACTTGAGTTGGGTCTTGGCCTTTTATCTGGGTCACTGTAAGGTCCCCCACCCCTCACATTTCTCTGTCTTCATTCCCCGCTCTCTAAGGATAACCAAAACACTCATGCAGGTGCTCTTGATGTCGTCCTGGGCTCAGGACTGGGTGAGATGCTACAGATTAGTACTTAATTCACCACCTTTTAAAGGTCATTTAATTCAATCCTCATGACAACTCTGTGAGGAAGGCTTTATCCTTTCCATTTTATAGATGAGGAAACTGAGGGTCAGAGAGTGCTAAGTGACTTGTGCTAAGATTTAAGCCTATGCTGTTTCTAGTCCAAACTAAAAGAATGAACGCAGATACCCTCCATAGGCTGAACCCTGAGCCCCAGTCACCACCCCTGCACTGAACCCAGATTTCTACCTTAGAGTATAGGTGTTTGTACTATAAGTTAACTCAGATCCCTCCTCCTAGCCCAGGCTCCAGTATATTCACCAGCTGAACTCCAGTAAGGACTCTGGTGCCAAGTTTGCTTCAAACGCAGGCTCCACCACTTAATAGACATGTAACATTGGGAAAGTTGCTTTTATTCTGAGCCTTGGTTTCCTTATCTGAAAATGGAGAATAATAATAGCACCACCCTCTCAGAATTGTCCCTGAGGACTAAGTGAGTTAGTATCTGTGAGCGCTCAGAACAGCGCTTCAGTAGTAAGATTAAAGTGTTTAAAATATTATGGGGGTGGGGGCATGTTCTTGGGTCCTGGGTTCAGCCTGAAACTCAGTAGAACGGGCATTTTCATCTCTCTGCTGACACTAGTCCTGCCTCTATAGAGTCCTGAGTTGGAACTCAGTCCATGACATTAGAGGCAAGAGGGTCATTTTAGAGCAATAAAGGATCAGGGCTGAAGGGGGAGAGGCTGGGGGGGCTGGTGTTGTCGTTGGGGAGAGCTGGTGAGCTTTCTGGAATGAGGCGCTGACCATTGAAATTTGGGCGTCTGGGTCCTCCCTGGTGGCGCAAGGGGTTAAGACGCAATCTATGAAGCTGTTCACAGCCACTGCAGAGAGTTCAATCCCCCAGCCAGGCAGGGGGCTACACACATGGCTCAGCGGACCTTTCCTGCTTCACCTGCTGCTCCCCTCAGCAGTGTATTTCAGTCAGTCTGCCTGTTCTGCTCCCCACTCTGTCTCTGGTGAATCCTCTCACCCCCACACCTCTGGCCTGTACCCCAGCTCTTATATGCATAAATAAATAAATCTTTGAAAGAAAAGAAAAGAAAGAAAGAAAGAAAGAAAGAAAGAAAGAAAGAAAGAAAGAAAGAAAGAAAGAAAGAAAGAAAGAAAGAAAGAAAGAAAGAAAGAAAGAAACAAACTTGGGTGTCTAGGACACTGGCCAAAAAGAAATAAACGAATGGAGCGAGGATGAGGAGTTGAGAGTGATGGTTCCGGTGCCTCGGTCTTCAGCAGGCCGGGCACAGCGTGCTGGGCTGAAAGTCGCTGCAGAAAGGCGTCTGGAAAAGGAACGAGAGGACGCGGAGCAGGGGTCCGGAGAGGCCTGGAGATCAAAAATGCGGCTGGACCCTCCCGGTCTTAGCGCGCCCAACTCTCCCCGGAGCCGACGCTAGCGCCGCGCAACCAGTCCCCACTCCCTCCGGTGAAATTGCCAAATTAAAATGAATCATTTGGCCCATAATGGCCGAGGCGCTTATCGGGGGCGAGCGGACCCGCGGCGGTGCCTTATCTCCGCCGCGCACACGGCCCCGGCGCGCCTCGGCCCATGCTAACGAGGCTGGAACGTGAGCGGGATTAGAGCGCGTCGGTGCAGGCGCGGGGCGCGGCGCGGGCGGGGGCGCGGGGCGGGGGCGGGGGCGCGGGGCGGGGGGCGGGGGGCGCGGGCCTCCGCACTAAGCACCAGGCCTCAAAATGGCCACACGCTTCCCCCCGTGGCGGCAAAACGTGAGCATTCTGGCCTTTTTCTAGGGTAAAGCAACCTGCGGCCTCCCACGGAGCTCCCCACCCATTGACCCCCTCTTGGCCCCCACGCGCAGAAGGGGAGGTCGAGCTGCTTTTCCCTCGTGTGTTCCGACGGGGGGCACATTCCTCGGGCGCCCTCGCCGCGGCCCCTCCCGACTTGGAGACTCCCTTCCTTCCCCTTTTTCCTTACGCAATAGACAGAAATGCGCGAGGCGGTGGTTGGTCTCATTTCTTGCCCGCGGGTGTTTGCATGCGGCGGGGTCATGAGAGTGCGTGCGTGAGCTGTGGGGATGCGGCCTGCTTCCGAATGTGGTCTTCGGGGGCAGGAGGTTGCGTGTCCGAGTGCGATGGTGTCTGCGCCGCTTGGGCGTGGGTGTGTGGACTGGGTCTCTCCAAGGCCCGTCTGCCCGCGCACCGCTGGGTCTCATTATGCTCCGTCGCGCGCTCGAGATAGGTCTGTGTGCTGGGTGCTGGGGGCTTGGCGCCCGTGTTTAGGGGCTTTCGTTGTGGTGTGGGGCGCGTGCCATCCCGGCTGCCCTGAATTGTGTGTCCCTGAACGACAGCATCGGGCTGATTTCGTTCTGTGGCGCCTGGCAATGTGCGGCCCCGGCGCGCCGGCCTGCGGGGCAGGGCTGGGCAGCGTCTTCTCGCTTCCCGTCGGTGGGGCTGGGCGCTGTGGGGTCCTCGCGGCGCGGGGTGTGCGCCAGGGTGCTGGTGCCCTTTAGGGGCGCCTTCACAAGCCGCTGGGGGGGGTGGAGGGAGGGCGAAGGGGCGATGGGAGCGCGCGTTGAGGAGGTGGCTTGGGGGCGGGGAGACGGATTTCACATTTTATTCCAAATTATGATGTATTCGGAAGCCAGTGCTGGCTTGGATGGGCAGACAGAGCCCTATCGGCGGCTGCTCTGTCCGGAGACCAGTCTGCGCCTGGGCGTTTGAGGGGCTCGTTAGTGAATGGGAGGCTCTTCCAGGCTCGAGGCTGAGCAGCGTTCGCCCAGGCCCGCACCTTCACGCCCGCGGCCGCCGGCATCGCGTCCCGTCGCCCTCGGGCTTCGTCCATTGCTGGTCAGTTTCTCGGGCGCGGCCGCTGGGGTCTGCGGGAGAGGCCGGAAAAGACAATGGGAGCTTGCTCCAGGCCGCTGCTCGCGGGTGGGGACCCCCGGGGATGCCTCGGAGGAGCATTTTTGCGCCCCTTCTCCGGGTGAGCGCCACTCCCGCGGGGGTGGGCGCTCGCTGCGCCGGAGCCCGCCCCGGGCGGTGGTGAGGCCGGGGCGGTCGTGCCCTAAGCGCCGGAAGAAAGAATTTTGCTTGTCAGTTATTGTGGTTGCTAATGTCATCATCATCACCATCATCAGCCGATTTTAATTAAAAGAATCCTCCAGGAGCAAGCCCAAGCAGCCAGGAGCTTTTGGTTCCTTTGGAGGGATAACAAAGCCGCTGTCTCCTCTCCCGGCCCCCCACCCCCCTCTCTGGTTTTTAAGTTGCTGGATTTGGGGTAGGGGGAGAAAATGGGACAGACACAGAGACTCGGTTTTAAAGCAGAAATTACCCCCGACCCAGCGTCCTGGGCTCCTCCCTTTCACCGCTCTCCGGGTTTGGATTAGAAGAAAAGAAAGAAAATCTCCCTCCTCGGACTGAGACCGCGGAGAAGACTCATTTCTATATTTCAACCAAAACAGGGGCAAAAGGGAAGCCTTCGCGGTTCATCTAAGACTTCGATCTAAGACTTGTCCAATTAAACGGGACAATTTAAGCAAAACAAATTAAACAAAACCCTGGCCTGGGGTGGGGGAGGGAACAACGAAATCCTGCGACCTACACCCAGGGCAGCGGCCTGGGGGGGGTTGAACCCTCCCTCCCTGCGCCCTGGTTATTGCTGCAGGCAGTTGCCACAATCCCCCTCCACGCTGCGGGTCTGAACACCAAAAAATCGAAAGTCATTGTGTGGAGCGATGACTGAAGTCGGAAAGGGATTTTTCTTTTTCGGGTTTTTTCTTTTTCTTCATCGGTAGGAAGAAAAGCAGGGCCCGGAGCGCCCAGGTGCCTCTCTCCTTCCGCTTCTTGGAGCCGCGCTGCCCCGACTCCATTCTTGCGGGACAGAACAGCTTTGGGATTCGGTTCTGGTTTCACTTTGGGCTCAGGGGGGTCGTGGAGCTCGTGGGGCCTCGGAGGCTCTGCCCCCACCGACCGGAGTGTGAGGACAGGATTCTTGTTTTTCCATGTCCCCCCGCCAAGCTGCGAACCCCGCTTTCCCTAGCCACCCGCGTAGACGCGGTAGTGCTTGAAACGAGCCCCGCCGCGCTGAACAACAGAGGGATCCCCGTCGGCGGGTCCGAAAAATATTCCCGACAGTCTGCGGCGGGGCCTTGGTTGTGCGGCCGTAGTTATTCCTGATTGGTCAGGTGTAAGCGGCTTCTTAGCGGGAGGGGCCGGGAGGGAGCTTCAATCAACCTGCAGGTTGGGGGGCCGGAGGGGGGGGCGCAGCAGAAAGCTGTTCTGGATCCCCGGGGCTGCTGGGCGAGGACTTGAGGTAATTCCCAGCCATTGACCCCCCATTTCTCTGTCTCCCTCCCTCGTGCCCTCCCTCTCTCCCTCCACCCCCATCTTTCCTGGAAACTGCTCTGGGCGCGGCAGACCGCCCAGGACCACACCGCGGCCTAACTGTTGGTCTTTCCGCGAGAGAGGGGGAAGCAGAGACCCCCGTCCACCACCTGGACCTCGGCTCCCGCCCTCTTCGGCGGAGGAGTGGAGATCCTGCTCAGAGGGCCGGTCTCTCTAAATATGCCCCAGGTGAGTTTGGGGGGGAATGGTGTAGGTGGAAATGTCCTGGGAAACCTTGCGTTCTTGCTTGGGGGTGGGGGGGGGGTCAGGACAGAAGAGAGCCCTTCTCGGAAGGTGGGGATAAAGGGGGGTAGGGATCCAGAGCTGGGGATTACAGGCCCTGCTGCTGATGGCCTCTGTGGCCGTCAGCAGCAGGGCCTTTTCCTTTTCTGACCCTGGGTAAAAACAGCTGGTTGGATTTGGTCCCCCTGGCTGCTCCCATCATTCCTGGTTCTGTGGACCTTTCACAAGGCTGGAACTTTGGGGCGGCGACATGGATACGGGGTGGGCAGGCTGCCCTAGCCTGGAACTCCAGCAGGAAGAAGGCCGCAGCCATCCTGGCTAGCACAGTCCTGACCCTGGTGGGCCTGACGGAGGCCTAAGTCCTAGGGCGGGGCAGCGCCTGAACACCCACCTTCTGCGGTGGTGGTGGGGAAAGTGATTCTGTTTACTGACAATTTGGGGTCTTCTGCAGGCTTGGGCTCCCTCAGGGGGTTCAGCGGGTGTGGGTACGGTATGAGGGACTCCGGGACTCCGGAGGTTGTTAGGCAAAGGCTCTAACTGGGGTGCAGCTGAGGCTGTTTACACATATTGTAAGAAATTCTCCGCCGGGAGAGTTGGGAGCTAGGGGAGCCCAGTGCCTGCCTTCCAGCAGCTGCCATGTCTGTCTTGGTTAGAGGCTGGCGCAGAGATGTTCTGAGCAGGCACAGCCACAGATGAGGATCTGGTGTTGCCTCCTGTGCACTGGGTCGCAGCGACACAAAGACAGAGGAGTTATAATGGTCTTGTGCATTTAGTTGAAACCTTAACCCCCTCCCCCTTACCTTACCCACATAAAAACAAATAAAAATCTCTCAGCCTTTTTCCCTTTAGTGATCTTAACCAAAACTAAGTGATGCGGTTTGACAAATGAACATACTTGTGGGTCCTCCTGTGGCTTCCTCAGGAGCATAGCTCACCAGGGCTACCCTGGTTGCAGAAGAGCTCACTGGGTTTCCTTGGGGCCCCCCAAGGGGCCGGGAGAAGTGGGCCACAGACCCTGGGGACCAATCGTAGCTTTCTCATAGGGAGCCTCTGAGATACAGATCATTATAGGTGTTTGGAGAGGGCATTCGGGGCCAGGGTCAACTCATCTGGAACATGGGCTCCCTTTGCCCCTGTGCAGGGAGCCCTGGAGTTACTCAGCGAGTATAAACAGTCGTAAGGAGGGCTTGAGTTCATTCTGGCCATTGCGGTGCACACTGTGACTCGGTTAGAAGCTGGGGCCGAAGCACATGTACTGGATGCACAGGAATGAGTCTGGATAGTGAGGTAGAGAGCCAGCACCGGGGGCTGTATATTTCATTACAGAATGAGGTGTTTCTGGTGCATTTCACCAGGGGTGGGGGGCGTGAGTCAGGGGGTCCAGACCTGGTATACATAGGGTGCATTTCTAATGGTTACAGCGCCCTGGTGGTCCCATTCCGTCCATCCAAATCTATTGTCTCCACCATAATCATAAACTCGCTTTCAACGAAGCATCTTAGTCCCATTGCCATTCCAGCTTCGGCACACCAGGTGTCAGGGAGTTTTGTTGTTTCTGGGCCAGGCTCACAGGGCTGTGCCTGATCCGGAGCAGGAGTGCCATCTGAATGGTGATTCTCCAGTGGCTGGTGTATCTGGTGGCAATTGAGCTCAGCTCCAGAGCAGTTTCCTCTCCCTTCTGTCCCTAGTGGTGTCCATTCTCTCTTCTGCGGGGGTGGGGGCGGGTGGGAGGAAGGCTGGCTCCCAGGCGCACTCCTCGGCAGGGCAGCGCAGAGCAGAATGGGAGCGCGCCGGCTGCTGTGAGTGATCAGAAGGACCCCGCTTGGGACTGAATTGGATTTTTATGAATTTATTTTCTGCTATGAAATGCCTCAATTACATAATTCTCAGAGCAGCAACCTCATTTTGAACATCTTGTAAAGCCTCATCGAGTTGACTATATTTTAATTTTTCTAATAACAACAACTCACAAATATCCCCAAATTCTGAAGTCAGAGTCGCATAGATTTTTCTGCTTTTATTTTGTGCTGGGGCCTGGCCCCGTTGGCATCGAAGCAGGGGGATGCAAGAACCCAAGCTATTGCTAGTAGAACATCCTGGAGTGCGGTTGTGAAGAGGGGAACCCTCCGCTCCAGGGGTATATGTGTGAGGGTGTTCAGGGGAGGATAGGACAGGTAATCTGAATCTGTTAGATTTAGCCTCAGTTGAAAACAGGATTGTGTGACCTTGGGAAAGGCATTTCCCTCCCTGGTCCTTTCTCTTTGTCAATAATAATATTTACTCATGCATTTGCACAGTGCGTTTAAATACATAATGGAGTTAGTCCTCCCGAGTCCCAAAGGACAACACCAAGGAGGGAGAGGGGCATCAGGAAGTGCTGGAAGAGGCCAGAGGCCCTGCAGTCACCCCTTGCTGCTGCCTGAGACTCAGACACCAGGGGCCTCAGGGCACTCTGAATGCCTAGGCTCCTGCAGCCTCAGCCAGGCCTCCTTCCAGACCCACTCATTTTGGAATCCAGCAGAGCTGAAGGGGGTGAAGTGCTCAGGGAGGCAGGAGCCTCTTCGCTCCCTGGTGTCTCACCTAGAGGTGGGAGTAAGGGGCTGCAGGAAGGTGGGGGCACAGAATACAGGGTGGATTGTTTAGTGTGAGTAGACACCGCTGAAGTGGCTGACTGTGTTGGAAGGAGCACCTGGTTCCTCCCCTGGAAGCTCTAATAGCCCTAGTCGAGTGGACCCTAGTTCCTGAAGCCTCCACTCCCCAAGCACCCTGCTCCCCTCCTCCACCTTACACTGCCCCCATCTTTTTTTGGGGGTGTGTGTGTGTGGAGATAGACTAGGGGAGGGCTTTGCTGAGGTGAGGAAGGTTCAGAAAATACCCCACCTCCTGGAGACGGATTCCCCGCCAAAACCAAAAGGGGGGGGGGCGGGAAGAACACAGTCGGGGGTTCGCTCCCTCCTCTTCCCCTGCGGCCTGAGAGGGGGACCAGGCGGTGTTGCTTTCTCGCCTGGTTCTACATTTCCTTCCTCCTTTTTCCCCTTCTGTTGTTCTTTCGCTGGCTGGATCGCCTTTCTCCCAATGTTTGTCACCTCTCCCCACCTCTGTCCTTTCGGTCCTCCGCGTCTGTCTCCCGTCTCCCCCCAACCCGCGCCCCCCTTCCGGCCCTCGCGCGCCCCACCGGGCCTCCAGCCCCCGAGGGCGGGCGCCTGTCCACGCGGCTCCAAGTCGGCGGCCTCCCGTCGGGTCTCGGGGGGTGCGTGAGTCTCTCCCCGCCCCTCGCCCTGCACCCCGCCCCGGGCTCGCGGGCCGCGGGCGGTTGTCAGAGCGGGGCGGCTGTCTGTCTGTCTGCCCGCAGGATGACGGAGCGGCCGCCGAGCGAGGCGGCACGCAGTGACCCCGCGCTCGAGGGACGGGACGCGGCCGAGGCGCGCATGGCCCCCCCGCACCTGGTCCTGCTCAACGGCGTCGCCAAGGAGACGGGCCGCGCGGCCCCGGCGGAGCCCCCGGTCATCGAGCTGGGCGCGCGCGGCGCCCCGGGGGGCGGCCCCGTCGGCGGGGCGGCGCCGCGCGGGACTTAAAGGGCCGCGACGCGGCGGCGGCCGAAGCGCGCCATCGGGTGCCCACCACCGAGCTGTGCCGCCCGCCCGGGCCCGCCCCGGCGCCCGCCCCGGCCCCCGCGGAGCTGCCCGGAGACGGCCGCATGGTGCAGCTGAGCCCGCCCGCGCTGGCGGCCCCCGCCGCCCCCGGCCGCGCGCTGCTCTACAGCCTCAGCCAGCCGCTGGCCTCCCTCGGCAGGTCAGGGTCCCCCGCGGGCGGGTGGGCGCGGCCCGCGGCTCCCCTGCGGCGCTCGGGAGCAGAGGGGCCTCTGGACCCGCAGCCCACAGCCTGGAGGCGAGACACGGGCCCGCGGAGGGAGTGTCCGTGTGTGTGTGTGTGTGTGTGTGTGTGTGTGTGTGTAGCACATGGGGGTGCCTTGTGACGCGCGACGTGTTGGGGTGTGTGTAACCAAGCAGGGGGAGGGTGGGCATGTGGCTGGCTGGGAGCCGGCGCCCAGTGCCGAATGGAGGTGGTGGGGGGACAGGTGCCAATGCCCCGCGTGTGGGTACCAAGCAGGGGCGAGTGGAAGGCCCTCCGCTGTGAAGTTCTGGAGGCTGCAGCCCTCTGAGGACAGGTAAGGGATAGGGAGCTGGGAATGGTCGCGAGGGGGCCCCTCCTCTAGCTCTCAGCTTAGGGCCCTCCCAGGGAGTGGTCGCTCCTCTCTCCTCTGTCCCTAGTGTGGACGGACTCTGGGCCTTTACCCCAGCGCCTTTCCTTGCTGGGCTGGGGAGGTGGGAGGAGGGTGGGTTGGGGACAAGAAGAGACAGGGATAGGGGGAGTGGGGGCAGTGAGTGAGGGGCAGTGAGTGTGGGGAAGCCCAGAGAAGCAGAGGCCAGGGTGGGGGTGGGAGCAGGCGGTGATGGTGAGTCAGGGTTTCCTGTCTGGTGTCTATCCATCGGCCTCTGGGGCTGTGTCCTGGGCAGGAGTGAAGGTGGGGTGATGTTGACGGGAGGGGCAGGGCCCCTTCGGTGGTGCTGGAGTCACCCGGGATCTGAGGGCCACGTCTGCTGTGTGAGCATGGTCTAGGAGGGGCGTTGTCTGTGTGGGTCCCGTGCTTGTACCTGGGGAGGGGGTGCGTGTGTGTTCATTTTTGTGTTTGCCCCGTGCTTCACCTCTGATTGTGTGTGAGAGTGTGTCTTCCCCTTGCTGTTCCCCCTGGCGAGAGGCTCATTCTCTGTGTGTTTCATGCGCTTAGTACCCCCAATGCCTGTGGGAAGGGACCAGAGCTGCCTTTGTTTTTCCAGGGTTGGGGAAATTCAAGAACATTGGGGGGAAGGTCCTAAGGAGCCTCTTCCCCCCACTACCCTACATGTGATCTTGTGATCTGTTCCCTCCCACAGTGGATTTTTTGGGGAGCCTGATGCCTTCCCTATGTTTGCCACCAACAACAGAGTGAAGAGGAGACCCTCCCCTTACGAGATGGAGATTACTGATGGTGAGTACCCCCAGCTCACCTTTGTACTCACCCCCTACACTGGTTAGGGCCACCCAAAGGAGGGAACAGCAGAGATTTCTGTCTCAGGTAGATGGGTGCACAGCCTTGGTGCCCCAGAATGCCCTCACCTTGCCACACTCTTCACCCTCTTCCCTTCCTGTGGCTGGCGGGCTCTTCAGACCTGGGACTCAGGGAAGTTGTGGGTGAGGCCAGGGGCAGGCATATTCAGTCCTGGGGAGAGGGGACATGGGTGTGAGGACACATTGTGGCGCTGAGCCCAGACCTCTAGGGTCAGTAGTAGTTACCACACCAGGCTCCATTCCTGCGCTTGACAAGGATGCTGGGCAGAATGTGTGGTGTCCCCTGGTGCTAAGCCAGACCTTAGGGATTCCCTGCACCCCCTCCCAAGTCCTTCTTGGACTCTGGGTTCTGTTCCTTGCTCACAGTTGTATTTCAAGGGTCTCATCCCAGGACCCTATACTGTGGGAACCGCTTGTCCCATTCCACACCCTCGAGCTCTTCCCGACTGGGTATTCCTGGGGAAAGGTTGGATGAGTGGGAAACTTGGAGGACCCCCTGCTTTTCCCCAGGTTGGCCTGATGTAGTAGACGGGCCCGGCACTAGGGGGCAGGAGAGCGGGCTCTTCAGAGCTGAGGGCCTTGGAGCCAATCCTTGGTTTCTAGCGTTTCAGCCTAGGTGGGGGTGGGGGTGGGGGTTCCTGTGTTCCCGGAGCCAGGCTGGGCTTTGTGCAGAGAGCGGGTAGCAGGGATATGTGCAGTGGGCAGAGCTTCTGAAGGGGAGTCCTCAGTGACATTCTGGAGAGGAGGGAGCTGGAGTCTGGACAAGGAACAGACCTCAAAAGACCCAACTGGCCTGGGCACAGGGGTATAGGGAGGAGAGGGCAGGGCTGTTGGTGTCTGTGCTGCTTGGTTAGAGAGGGGCAGGGGTGTGCCAAACAGCAAGTAGGTGGGACCAGTCCTGATGTTCCCCAGGAAAGAGGCGTTTTTTTGCAAAGGGCAGAGGCATCAGAATCAGGTACAGAGGAGAGGAAGGTGAGGAGGGGCAGGAGGGTGAGGGCTTGGAGGAAGTGCAGGAGTGTAGGGAAGCCATTACCATAAATGAGGACTGCTCAGTGCCCAGCTGGAGGGAGATGGAGGAGCTGAGGGGTGGACAGACTTGGGAAAGAGGAAGGTATAGAGAAGTAGGAAGGAGCCTGGGAGGAATAAACAGAAATGGAGGTGGAGGCAAGGGTGTGTGTGTGTGGCCGGGGGGGGGGGGGGGGGGGGGGGGCGGTGGGGGGGGTAGGGTGGGATGGGTGCAGAATATGTCCATGGAACTTAGAATTCAGAGCTTTCATCAAAAAGAGTCCGTAGAAGTAGAACTAATGCAAGATCTAAAGTCAGGACTTGATGTGGATTCCTGTTGTTGAATTTTTCTGGGCCTCAGTTTCCTCACATGAAATGGGGGAGAAGAATAGCTTCCCCATAGATTTTTGAAGGAGCGCAGGGGGTGAAGTGTTTTTCGGGCCTGGCTCTGGGTAGGTTATGAGGACATGTGAAGGTTCATTCCCTCCCCTTCTCTTTCCTTGCCTGTCAGGTAGTGGTGGAAGGTTTTGGGGACCAGTATTCCTCCTACTACTTAACAAAGAGTTTTTTTCTGCCTTGTTCCTGCCTGTACTCCAAGTGCCCAGCACACTGCTCATCACAAGCAGTCCTCAGGCAGCTCTTCGGAGTGGGAAAGGCAGCCAATTGATAACAAAAATGCTACTGCTTTTTGGACATCCACTATGCACTGTGGGTTTTGTATTTTTGATTTTTGTTTAATCCTCACCACAAACCTCTGAGATCAATTAGCATTTTCATTTTACAGGAAATTGAGGTTCAGAGAGGTTAAGCAACCTGTTCAAGGTCACACAGCAGAGTCCTGAATACTCCTTGTAACCCCAGCCCCACTTCTGGAGTCCGGCTGGCCCTAGCTTTGAAAGCAGTCATAGTGCTCCCCACCCCCACCTCCGTGCTCTTTCAAGATCAGTCAGCACCAGCCGGTAGCCGAGGAACTCCCCTCGATGGCCTCCATGCCCCAAAACAGCAAGTTATTTCCCCTGAGGTGCCCAGGGTAGGACTGCTCAGCAGGCGCCTGGTTCTGGCCTGTGGCAAAGAATCAGCTGGGCCTTTGGGGCTTGGAAAGTCTCAGGGGCACTGTGGGCATCAGTGAGCCTCCCTGGGAAGTCACGGGGTGCATATGTGCATGGGGTGCACATGCACGTAGGAGAGAGAATGAGAGATGACCAAGCAGGGAGCGTCAAGCAGGGATGAGCTGGGTCAGGGTCTGGGTCAGTGGGACTGAGGAGAAACCTTGGGCTCTCCTCTCTTCTCCTATGCCCAAGTTTCCACATTCTGAGGACTGGTTTCAGGGTTACTGGAAGAAGGTAAACCAAATATTCCAAGGCTGGCAGTTCCCTTAGGCCCTCCCAAGGACTGCCTAGAGCCAGCTCTGCATCTCTGGGATGCAGAGGAGGGAAGCAGCCACCTCAGCCCAGGATCAGGAGCACTGGCAGGCCCTCTCCTGTCTTCCTCTGGCTTGGGAATCCCAGACCAGGCTTGGACATTTAGTGTGGTGCTTAGCCGAGGAACTCCCCTCACTGGCCTCCATCCCCAAAAACAGCAAGTTATTTCCCCTCAGGTGCCCAGGGTAGGACTGCTTAGCAGGCACCTGGTTGTGGCCTGTGGCAAAGAATCAGCTGGGCCTTTTGGGGCTTGGAAAGTCTCAGGGGCACTGTGAGCATCCTTGAGCCTCCCTGGGAAGTCACGGGGTGCGTATGTGTATGGGATGACATGCATGTAGGAGATACATGCAAGTTGGTGCTTGATACATGCAAGTTGGTGTCTACCTCTGCTCCACAAGTCTCAGTACGTAAGTGCTTGGCACCCAACCTGTAGCCAGCGCTCGTGGACGTGGAGAGGCTGAAGCAGCCCTCAGATGCCTGCCTGGAGCCCACGCCATGCCTGACCATCTACTCCTCCTCTTTGGGAGAGAGCTCACAGGGTGGGTCCTCCCCCTCTGGTCTCTGTTCTGTCCTCCAGTGCCCCTCCCTTCCCCAGCAGGATCAGTCAGTCAGCAGACCTTTGCTCTCCCCTACTCCATGCTTTCCCACACCCCATGGGATCTACACTCAGCCTCCTCTGATTGCACCCATGCTCATCAAACATGGTGGCTTTAGCCCTCTTCCAGGTCAGTCTTTGTTTTTGCACATGCCGTTCCCTCTGCTGGAGCACTCTTCCCACTTCCATTTTGGTGCCTTCTTCAGGCGCTTCTTCAGCCTTAAGTTCTTACCTTATAGGTGTCCTCTCCTCTTGAAGGCTGTCCCTAGCTGCTTTACCTAAATAAGGTCGCTCCTGTCCATCTTTCACTTACATTCAACCTCCTGTTTGTTTGCTACTAGTTCATCATCAGTTACCCCCATTAAAATGTAGACTGCCTGAGGGCAGGGCTCTGTTTTGTTCACCATTATTCCTTAGTGCTTAGAACAGCACCCATTATTAGTAAATAGCTGATTAATAGGTAACACTAGTTGACATTGAATGCTTCCTGTAGGGCAGTTGTTATGTGCTTTACCTGTGTTTGTTATTAGATCCATGTGACAGTCTTATGACTTGAGTTACGAGTATTATCGCCATTTTACAGAGGATGAAGCTCAGGCATAGAGAGTACATATCTTGCCCAGAGTCACTATCTCATGTATAGTAGTCAGGAACTGAACCCAGAAAGTCTATCTCTAGGTTTGTCTTCCAATCTATTCTATATGGTCTGTGGGCACAAGTGAATAAATGAATGACAGTACCCTCAAATGTCTCATAACCCAGAGAGGGAGACAAGAACAGTGGATATCAAGGGATTACAGGGCCCTGGCAGTTGGTTAGATCTATTTGGAGGGGTCAAGGGAAGTCCTCAGAGAAAAGGAAACAAAATGGGTTTTGAGGCATGAGTAGGAGTTTTCTAAGTAAAAGAAACTTTAGGTTTTCCAGTGAATTTTTCCCAAGGTTTTTCCTCCTTTTCCACCAGAGAAGATGCCTTGTGGGGATCTCCAGTCAGTTCCTTTCCCTGCCCATTCCTCCTCACCTTTGCCCTCCTACCCTCCAGGTCCCCACACCAAAGTCGTGAGGCGCATCTTCACCAACAGCCGTGAGCGATGGCGGCAGCAAAATGTGAATGGGGCCTTTGCTGAGCTCCGCAAGCTGATCCCCACGCATCCCCCCGACAAGAAGCTCAGCAAGAATGAGATCCTCCGCCTGGCCATGAAATACATCAACTTCCTGGCCAAGCTGCTCAATGACCAGGAGGAGGAGGGCACCCAGCGGGTCAAGCCTGGCAAGGACCCTGTGGTGGCCGCTGGTGGAGGTGGGGGAGGGGGCAGTGCACCTCCAGATGACCTCCTGCAGGACGTGCTGTCCCCCAACTCCAGCTGTGGCAGCTCCCTGGATGGGGCAGCCAGCCCCGAGAGCTATACAGAAGAGCCGGCACCCAAGCATACTGCCCGTAGCCTCCATCCTGCCATGCTGCCCACCTCGGATGGACCTGGCCCTCGGTGATGGGTCTCGGGCCACCAGGACCAGCCGGGGGTGTGTCCCCAGGTCTTCAGGGCAGGTGGGGGTGAGGATTGGGCAGCTCTGGAGCAGGGCAATGGACTTGAGCTTTCCTCAATGTCTGGACTTTGGGAAGCCCAAACTGCCCCTGAGGCCGGCTTTACCATTTCTTGCCTCAGTAGGAGAACAGTAAAACGGAGCTAAGTGGTAGGTACTTTTTATGAAGACGGCACGGTCTTCCCCCGTCCCCCAATCCCTGAGACTTCCCACTTAAGAGACTGGAGTGCCACTGCTTTTGGCCTGGAGCTTGGGAGTCCTGTCTTTGCTGAGACCTGGGTTGTCAGCGCTCACCTGAGGGGCCCAGTAGCCTCAGCCTTGCCTTTAGCCCCTCCCAAGCTGGCTAGGCTGGCTTTGTGGCCACTCTGTCCAAATATGTAGGTACCCAGTAGCTGCCCATTTCTTGAGCCCCTTCTTCACCCAGGCCCATGTTGGTCCGTCCAGCTTGCCAGCTACTGCAGAGTCATAAGCCTCGAGGTGCCTTCTTCGGGGTCTGGTTGAAGATGGCCAGTGGGGAGCCTGCTCTCGATTAGTTGGACCGGAGGGTCAGAAAATCCAGCACCTCTTAATTCAAAGCTCTGTTTTCTCCCCACTGAGACTGGCCTTCCCTATCCTTGTGGCTGTGGGCACCACGTCTGCAGCTGTGAATGCGCCCTGTTGGGCTTTGTGTGAAGGCAGAGAAAGGGAAAACAATTTGAGTGAAATTGAGCAAGAGCTATTTTGGGCATGAGGGCTTTACATCCTGTGTGTGTGTGGGGGGTGTCTCAGAGCTACCTGCCTGTATTCCCAGCTGCACATCACTGTTCAGGCTGGTGAATAGACGCCGCTGTGCTGAGGGCACATGTGGGTCCTGAGCGTAGAGGTGCGAGCCCACCCGTGCAAGCCCACTCACCTAGATGCCCAGGGGTACCTCCTGGCTGCAGAATGTCTGTCTGCTGATGGTCCTGTCTGTATTCTGAACTGGAACACAAATTCTGTCCCGTGAATTCCCAGCATTCGGAATCTTTGCTCGAGGTCCCATTGTAGGACCTGGAGGATCCAGTCAGAGCCCAGGCCCTGGTGAGACTGAACGTCGGCACGTTCACTTAGTATCATAAACACCCTCCATTGTGCAGCTTTCAGTCATTCAGGGTGTGTATGGGAGGATGGTTTAATGCAATGGGAGTGCCCCTCCCCCCAAAAAACCCCCCACAAAAGTTGTACATGAAATTTTTGTAAATCAAATCCTTATCCTTCATCTTTTAAAGAAATGCTACCACAAGTCCTTTTGTAAAATGAAGAATCTTTTTGTAGAGTGAACCACTGCCCCCTTGCTGACCTCCTGCTTCAATCCAGGTGTCGGGACATGGTATCCTTAAGGCTGGGCCTGCCTGTGATGTGTCACTACCAGTTCCTACAACTGAATAGAAGTTGTTGTACCCCCAAGTCAACCCAGCTGTTTTCCACCAGGCTCTGCCTCTGATGTCAGAGGGGAAACGACCCTGTGGCCCTGCCCTGTCCATAGTGATGGGGAAGAACCTTCGCTGCAGCTGTCCGGAAAGGCCCTTCGGTGTTTTGGGTTTCAGCTCAGTGTCTCACCCTCAGGTGATGGCACCTTGAGTACAGCCACGTGCAGACAGAGCCACCCTCCCTCTCCTCTCCCTGTCCTTTCCAGGTGTGAGGGCTGCTTAGTGGGGATGGAACAATCTGGTTAACTCTTGCAGCACCCTGATTTTCCATCCTGTCCTCTTTCACTCTCCCCAAATCACCTTTTGATGAACATTAGGGTTGATTCCTTTCCAATACTTGGAAGTGTGAGTGGGAACTCAAGCTTCTAGTTTCCCCTTCTGAGACTTGCAGGGTGACCTGGCTGTCGAATTTCTGCATGTCACTTTCTTTTAAATACCTTGCCTTGGCCTGTCTCCTAGAGCTGTGGTGTGGACAGGACGAGATTGAGAAAGCAACGCATTTGAGGCTGTAAAGAACTCTGTTGCCCTCAGTATCAAGTCCTGCAGTGCAGTGTCCCACTCCAAGTCCAGGAGGTAGGCAGTGGGCCAGTCTAGAACAGCACAGCATTTGGGTAATACAGGTTCTAGACCACTTTTGCCTGAATTATCTAGATTGTCCTCATTTCTCCAGATTGATGTCAATGCTGTCTCATTCCAAGGAGTGAGAATGGAAAAGAGATCTGGGAAAGTGGACAGAACTTGGAAAAGGTATTACAGATCCCCAGATGGGCCTGGAAAGGGAGGGCAAAGCTTCATGTCTTTGCAGGAACTAGAAAAGATCCTTAATTTTAATTTTGTTCTCTGACAACCCCTAAGCCCATCAGACCCTTTCTTTCCTCTGCCTCCTCATCCATGAAGAAATGGCAACAGTCTAAGAATAAATAGTATCTGTACAAAAGGGAAAACATGTAAAGGTGAAAGCCAGGAGGAGAGCAAAGATGATTGTAATGACTGGAGGGAATCACATCTCTTAAGAACAGCTCATACTCTTTTTGTTTGTAGTGGCAAATGACAAGATGGTACAACCTTTATCCTTTTTCGAAAATAAAACAAAGGGCACAGCATCTATAGTCAGTGGGTAACTATTTTGGCCTATGGGGGTGGGTCTAGTCGTACTTGTGATTTCAATGGTACGTGGCCCCCGGCCCGAGGCTTGCCCCCTGCCCATGTACATAGCGCGGTGTTTCTGTGGGCGGGCCCAGCACTTTCCGTCAATGTTGTACTGTACGTGATGAACTGCGTTGGTCTCTGCATTTTTCTGCAGAAGAGGAGTAACCGCTCCAGGTACCTGGACCTTTGTACAGCCCAGAGGCCAACACTGTGGGCGTGTGACTCTTGCAACAAAACCCATGTGGTGGTGATGTATGTATATATATAAGGATATATTGGGAAGATTTCTAAATAAAAGTTTTACAAAGGGGCCTGGACTCTGTGCTTGCATGTTGCACACCTAGGTCTGAGGGCTGGGAAATTAAAAGAAGAGGCTAGGAAAGAAGCTGTCTCCCTCGACATGGGAGGCCTCTAGGATTCAGCAGCCTTTTAAGGGTGGGGTCCTACCCTCTCGCTTCATGCCTCCCCATCAGGGTTTCCATCATTTGCCCTCTGCCAGGCCTCACAGAGAGAGCCTCTCTCTTCAGCACTGTGCACCCACACTTTCAGCTCTGGGCCATCCACCATCCTGAGGGCCTTCTGACCACAGCCAGGAGAGTGACTGCCCAACAGTACTTGGGGATCATGCCCTGGCTCACAAGGAAGCTCCTTGATTTTTGGAAGGCTCCAAGTGTGCCTCTCCTGGGCCCTGGACAAGGAGCATCCTGAGCAGATGGGTGGTAAGACTTAAACCTGGGTCTTGATGGTGGTGGTGGGTGGGCCTGGCTTGTGCCCCAGGCCTGAAAAGCAGCATGATGAAGAGATGAGGGAGGGAGAAGCGAAAGGAGAAGGAGAGAAGCGACACAGGCATAGGGGTGGCAGAAACAGAGTAGTCAGAGAAGTAGGAGAAGGACTGGGGGAACGTGGTGCTTCTGAGGCTAAAGCAAAGGGCTATTCAAGGCAGAGGAAGTGTCCTCCAGGCACGATGCAGCTGAGAAGCAAACGAGGAAAGGCCCCAAGTGTTGACTGGAGCTGGCAGCAGAGAGATAGCTGGTGAGCACAGTGACGGGATGCAGGGGGTGGGGAGGGCAGCAGCCTGACTGTCATGGACAGAAGGAGGGGAAAGGAGACACTCTCCCCAAGAAGACAAGATGGTCCAAATCCAGAGAGGTTAGGGAGAGGCCTTCGACTCTGTGGCTACCAGGGCAGAGACTACAAGTCTATTGAATGCCTAGGCCGGTAGGCCCTTGAAGATCATCTGGTTCCACATAGGTAGACTGATGCCCAGAGAGGAATGGACTCTACCCAGGGCCACACATCCCATGAGCAGTGACAGTGGGGGCAGGGAGGGCAGGGCCAGGCCTTCTGGCTCTCAGGACAGCCTCTGCCACCAGAGGACCTTGCCTGAATGGCCTGTGGCCCTCTCGCCGCTTGCCTTTATTTTCTCTGCTCCTATTGTACTATCCTGTCTGTCTGGGCTGCCACTTCCTTTTTAAAATAATGTCCAGTTTGAGGCACTGGTTTCTAAACCTTCCTCTGCTCTCACCTCCTTTCACCTGTCCACCCTGTGCTCGGCAGCGGGGAGGCTGTCACGGCTCTGGGGCCAGCTGTCTCTTGTGTGGCCTCCGGGCTCTCTTCACTCTGTGGTGTCTGATGTCAGGTTCACTAATCTGCACGTTGATGGCACACTTGGCACAGCCCCTAGGGGCAAGACCATGCCTGACTTGTCTCTTCACCTCCAGTGCCCTTGTCAGACCCGACCTGGGTCCCTTCCAATGTCGCTGAGAGACAAGCTTTCCTGTGCCAGTCTCCTCTATTGGCTTTGAGGCCAGCAGGGCAGAGTGGCTGATGGACGAGAGGCAGGGTGGTTCCTTCTGAGATACCAGATCTGATTCCTGCCCCCACAAAAAAAAAAAAAAAAAAAAAAGGAAAGAAAAAAGAAACGGTCCTGGGCTGGTTGAGGGCAGATGGGCAGCTCCGCCCCTTGGTCTGGCAGAGGACCTGGGGCTGTTGGTGGGGGGAATAAGGAGGCGGTACAGGCTTTGGACTGTACCCCAGCAGCCTGGTTATCATATTGGGCCTGGGTGGGGAAGGGGGTGATGATGATCAGGGGGCTGTTTATCTGGTTTGCTCATAGTAGCCTTGTCTCCTGTGTCCCTCTTCCCCACTTGCAAAACAGCCAACTGTTCCCCAGCAGCCAGTCTTCTTTCTGGCCTCATGGCCGGTGTGAGCCAGGCAAGTCCCTCTGACCAGCCCCTGGAGACAGGTTATGTGCTGGGCAGTGTCCTGCAGTAGAGACTCGGCCATTGTGAGTCAGTAAGGAGAAGAGCGAGTCAAGACAGCCCGGGCATCCTCTCCATTGTCCAGAGGAGGAAATGAGGCCTAGCGAGGGGAGGGGCCTACAAG